AATTTAAATTAACTCTTGTCCTAAGCTGTCTGGCTACAGTATTAGGGCAAAAGACAAGACAAAGTTAATATATTATGATGTTATCTCATGATTGATTCAACGCCGTGTTATCAACTTACACCCTCAGTCTATTTTTATAAGATAAATAATCGTACGAATTCATCACATCTTTCAAGAATAAATGTAAATGAAAGGGATCTTTTTACGTGCACGCCAATATGTACGCGGGACCACGGTTTTTCGTCCCATCCGAACGCCTAGACAGCTGTGCTTGTCAGGCCCTCCGTCCTGCATCACTGACAAGGGGAAAATACGCCGGAAAATCTGGATGAACTTTCTCGGCCATTGCAGGGATCGAACACCCGAACTCCAGGTTAGCGAGCCAGCGTCCTACCCACTTAGCCACGTGATCCCCAAGAATAAATGTAAATAATGTACGTTATAAAAAATGATTTATAAACAATATCAATTAATGAAACCTTTATTTTTCAAAATAATGAAATATGTTACCAAAAAAGTTTAATCTTTTTAGTGTTCCATTCTGGTTATCTAGAATGCAACATTAGAACAAAGTTAGTTATCTGTGCTATGTGCTATGACTTTGGGTAGTATGACATCTTAAATCAATAAAATTACTTTTTAAATCCGAAGGATGCTGGTTAAATAAAACCAGTCCTTAACTTAAGTTAATATGTCGTCCCGATATAAATGATATCTACATGGCAGTTGCGAACGACACTTAACACATTTAACTACTTGAGAAACTCAAATCATCATCATAATAATAATATATATTGTTTATAGACCATTACACACAAATTGTCTCAACCGTCTTTACATGGGCGTACTACACATAGTATATACATAATAATAAATAAATAAAAACTATCAATAACTCATAAAAAATCTCAAAGATATATACTATTCAAAAAAAGTAGGGGATATTTGATTTTTAAGTGTTATTAAAGTCACCTAATGAAACTGACGAAGAAACAAATGACAAAATGAAATGAAGTTCACATTCATCGATTTATTCCAAATGATCGTTAGACTAAGTAAGGCACAGACTGACCATTATAAGGGTAAAATGATACCCGGGGTCAAACAGCAAAGTTACCACAGCATCACAACCAAGTCAGTAACGGGTAAATCCTCCTCTGTTTGCCAAACAAGCATTGATCCGACGTGGCATACTCCTAATGAGACGTCTAAGGTCATTTTGGTCCAGATTGTCCCATTCCTGTTGCAACGCAGCAGCAAGTTCTTGGACATTGGCAGGACGTTGTTGACGTTGACGTAACCTCTGTCCAAGCATGTCCCAGACATGCTCGATGGGGGAGAGGTCGGGACTCAGTGCTGGCCAAGGTAATGTGGTGATGTTCTGTTGTTGGAGGTAACCTGTAACGATCCTGGCCCTGTGACATCTTGCGTTGTCATCCTGGAAGATGAAAGGGCGGCCATGACGTCGTGCGAACGGCATAACATGGACTGCCAAGATGTTGTCCCGGTAGTACTGGCCTGTAACACGCCCTGCAACAACATGTAAAGCCGTTCTTCCAGCAACAGTGATGCCTCCCCACACCATAACAGAACCAACCCCAAATCGATCATGTCTGATGACGTTAACGTCTTGGAAGCGCTCGTTTCGACGACGCCACACCCTCCTACGTCTGTCCAAAAAATCAACAGTGAACCTTGACTCATCTGAAAACATCACATTGCTCCAGCGTCGATTATCCCAGTGTTGACGATCCCTACACCAACGACGTCTTGCCTGAATGTGATGATCTCTCAAACAAGGGATCACGCGAGGACGTCGGGCGCGAAGGTGCCCCCTATGCAGTCGATTCCGAATCGTCTGGCCACTCACTCTCACACCAGTGTCTGTTTGAAGACGAGCGCTGATCTGATTTGCTGTGATGACACGATTTCTCAAGTCCAAGGTACGGATAAATCGATCCTGGGCTTGAGTTGTCGCCCTTGGTCGACCTGAGCGTGGTCTGTCCTGTACAGATTGTGTATCACGGTATCTGGACCATAGCCTGCTTATGACAGACTGAGAAAAATTCATCGTCCGCGCCACAACCGCCTGTGTTGTGCCGATCTGTAGCATGCCAAGGGCACGTAACCTTTCATTTTGGGTAAGCCGACGCATATCAAAATTTGTTTTCTGGTCACTAAAACAATTAAACTGATGTTTCCACCCTGGAATTCAATGCCACAATGACTGTAACATTCAAAGTCAGAGTCGTGCAAATCTTGGGTTGGACCCCCATGATGATCCCAAGCATCACCTGCATTCCATGCGGTAGCTATTGGTGCGTTTGGGCGTCACATGTAACTGGAAATGTTTCTTCTGTTAGGTTCTATAGTGACTTTTTTCGTAGTCATTTGCATATTTTAGTATTATGCCCCCAAAATCAAATATCCCCTACTTTTTTTGAATAGTATACAAATGTATGCCCATAAAAACATTAGATTGACTAGTAGTATTATTGCCTAATTGAATAAATATGTTTTGAGGTTGGATTTAAACAGGCTGAAATTGGTGAGTGGTCTAAGTCTTAGTGGCAGGTCATTCCAGAGAGTACGCGCGGCACGACTGAAGGCGCGATCGCCATACAACTCACTGGTTTGTTTTCCATGTGTTTTGTGGGAAAAGGGACGCAACTTCACCTCATCACTGCTTCTAGTCCGATAAGATGGAACTTGAATATTAATGATATCAGTGAGGTAGCAAGTGGTTGATGAAGGAAATGCAATGGTACATATACACACAAAATAATGACAGTTGGAGAAATTGAAGGAGAGGAGGCTGAAACGTCGCGTTGAACACGTGACCGTAGAAATAAAATGACCATACCTTGCAGCCGAAGAATTGTGCTGACGACACTAAATCCCATTCAATTCCACCAGCTATATCGCTCGGTATATACTTAACAAACAATACTAACTAGACACTTTCGTTATAAATATATAATGCTAGGTTCCCACTATCACGATTAGCGCTACGATTGAAATCGTTGTTTTAATCGTAGAGTAATCGTGGTGATCCTATCATGAGGTCAGTCGTAGCAATCGTTTTGATAGTACCAAAACGTATCCGAACGTACCAGATCGTGAATTCAATAGAGATAATCCTATCGTAAAGCAATAGATTTTATTACATACTTCGAGAGGGTATTTGTTGAGTAATAAAACCTTCTAGTAGTTTATCGAGGGCTGGCCGTCCTTACCGCACGGTACAAATATTATCACCACTAGAAGCAACAAATTCCAGAACAAGCCAGAACTCATACCAAAATGGCCGCTTTATACAAATGAGTATATAGGGGAATACTAACCCGAACCATAACCCCAACCCTTTTAAGAGAAGTAAAAACTAAATTAGACCAAAGTTCAGTCTTTTAAAAAGGGTTAGGGTTAGGGTTCGGGTTAGTTATCCCCAAAATTCTCATTTATATAAAGCGGCCATTTTGGCCTCCGGAAGCACCCGAACCTCGATAAACTACAAGAAGGTGTTATTTGTACCGTGTGGTAAGGACGGCCAGCCCTCGATAAACTACTAGAAGGTTTTATTACTCAACAAATACCTTCTCGAAGTATGTAATAAAATCTAATCGGGTGGCACGACAGTGGGAACCTAGCATAAACAAAATCAAAGTGTGTGGCTGTGTATGTTCGCCCACCACGCTTCGTCGCCGCGGTCCACTCCCACATATTATGTTGTAGAAAATTAACCAGCATGACCCCGTGAGTGTTTTAGGCCATCGAAATTGGGTCCCTGGTGAATTTAGTATTACATAAAATCCAAAAGGGGTATGTTCCAATTAGCTATAAACACTCACTTTGAGGAAACATCCCCTTGTCATACACATATTCATAACCAGCGGTTGCAAGGCAAGAAACGCCCACATTTTGCAAGAGATGGACAGAGAACAAGCTAAAAACCAAAGTGATTTTTCGTACAATCAGGGACCTTAATCCAGGAAGTTACGGTATGACATGCGCGAATATCGACAGAAACAAAGATCTTTGAAGTATAAATATACATTTCAAGTTTCATCAAAATGAGATACAAATTGTGTCTTCTAAAGGGTCCACAACTTTGGTATTACATACTTTTACACAATTTGTGCACAAGGAGCAGCCATTTTGTTCAGCAGTTTTGGTCAGATTTTCACAAAATTCGAACTCAACCGACATCATGGTGTAACGGTAATATATTCGAACGTTTTTTATAAATCGGTAAACAAATTGTGATCGCTAGTGGAACCACAAGCTAACAACGTGATTTTTCGTACAATCAAGGGCCATAATTTCGATATGCGTGAATATCGAAAGGAACTTTGGGTTATAAACCTGCATTTCAAGTTTCATCAAAATCAGATTAAAATTGTGACCTCTAGAGTGTCCACAAACTAAAAACGTGATTTTTCGTACAGTCAGGGGCCATAATCCATGAAGTTATAGTCCGATACATGTAAATATTTTAAGGAAATAGACCTATATTTCAAGTTTCATCAAAATCAGATAAAAACTGTTACCTGTTGAGTGTCCACAAACAAATTGTGGACGGACGGACAGGGGCGACGACAATATACGTCCACATGAAATAAACATTATCGGTCAACCGGGACGAATTAATTTCACTATTTTGAAAACATGCCCGTTTTTATCTGATAATTATGGACGCCAACACGTATTATACCCATGAATTATATTTTGATACGATAGAAAATAAATAAATTATCATTGGGGGTTCCAAGTGATTAATCATGCTCTTGGGTCTAATATTCATGTTATAGTCAAAAGCCTTCGAACAAAAGGTTTGCATATTTAAGAGACAGTATCACTTCCACCGAGAAAATAAATATATTTATTAGGGAGTAGTGTAGTGTAAAATATATTTAGATGCGAATGGATGCCATATGAATAAAATTTTTAATATTAGATTCATATCATTTTGATATATTGCATTTTCTAAATAACGGTATATTGCATTTTCTAAATAGCTAGTCCAGTGACAAACTATAATTTATTATTTATGACAACCGGCCTTGGTGGCAACTTGACAAGAGAAGTATCACATTATTAAAATAGGATAGCACGTAATGTAAGTATGGAATTTTATTATCATCGAGTGTTTTATAATTATTAGAAACGAAAATGTCACCATCATCATTTTTATTCTCTCGCCTCCTAATCTACTGCAGGTTTATTTCTTTTTACTTTTGATTGGGGTATGTGGCAAATGAGGTCGTTGGGGTCATATTAATATATGAAGAGTCCAGGGGAAGTACGATCTAATTCACATTTTTGTCTTTTCGCATAAAAGGCAAAACAGACTTTGGACGAGAATGCTTGACGCGAACAGAACAACGAGTGGGTTTAATTACAACTTCAAAATGAAGTTTATTACGAATCATAATTATCAGTACAACAACTGATTTCCAAATTAAGGTCAAATAAATACGATGGACTTTGTCCGGGAGGGCATTTCAGAAGGGCCATGGTTCGATGTGAAGCTTATACAATTTGCTACCAGATGGTGCCATTAACTGGGGTTCGTTGAAAAGTGACTTAGATCGTTCTTCCCCGGGGCTCTTCATTTCATATTTCATTCTCTTTATTTCAAAAAGTACCATATCATTCAAAGCTCTTGTATATATAATGGTGATTTTATACTATCAATATTGAAGGCTGGATTGCAATAGCTTCAAAATTGTTTTTATATGTTTGTTTTCGTAACGCCTCTACCTATGGAATGCCAATTTGTTATCCCGTGATACATAAATATTAATCATCTCGTTAACTAACAGTCGTAAATAATTCAAGAAATACCATTATGTAAAAACCTAAACTGAAATAAAAAAAACATAATGTATAGTAACGAATAATAAATCGACACCGGACAAATCTAATGTAAGATTATGGTGTACTAGACTAATTTGACTCGGCAGGCCTCAATAATCATTTTTCTGCTTTGACTTCTAAACGTAATGACGGTGGGGATTATGACGCGACTGTGTGCTATTGGGTTTGGTGCAACTGGATGCAATTGAATGCAAATTAGAGTTCCACTTTCTGTGATCGGTTGCAACTTGTTGCGGTTGAGATAAAGTTTAGACAGGAATTTAGCGTATTTAGTAATTTTACTCGGGTCTGCTTTACGTCAGCTGTGTACATAAAAATCACCGATGCAGCTAGTGTATTTGTATTCAAAGAAAGCATAACATCATGAAATAGCAGAACCAGTTTTCAAATATATTTTTTTTAACGAAATGAAACGAAATGGGGTTTAACGTCTTACTGTTCTGCTCCGAACTGGGCTAATGAAGACGTGCTATGAGGGAAATTTTGCTCGGACAGCGGCACTATGGCCTACTCTTATATCGAATTCCAACTGTCAAGGGATCTTTTACGTGCACGCCAATGTGTACACGGGACCTCGGTTTTCGTCCTATCCGAACGACTAGACAGCTGTCCTAGTCCCCCCTCCCCCGTCCTACATCACTGACAAGGGGGAACCACGCCGGAAAATCTGGATGAACTTTCTCGGCAAATGCAGCGATCGAACACCCGACCTCCAGGCTAGCGAGCCAGCGCCTTACCCACTTAGCCACCGTGCCCCCCTCCCTTTTTTTAAATCAAGGCCCGTATTCACAAAAACGCGCACATGGAAAACGGGCTATAGACAATGGCGTCGCCATTTTGTACTGGGCGTCAGTAACATGCGGTCCGAAATTATGGCACTACAGCATTAAATGTGATGATCAAAAAGAAATTGAAGCCAGTTACGCTCGGCGACATTGTCTTTGTTCAATCTCAGTCCCCATACTTTTAAATTGTTCCTTAAAAGAAACTGGATTCTGCAGTAATCAGAAACATAATTGAGTCTATTTATTTATTAGAATATCGGGTGTCTTTTGGCAACACTAGGTGTATTTATCATGCCAGTATGTGATTTAAAGACCTGTTGCAACATTGTGTACTCCGATTTAAAAAGTCACCATAATTTCACTTATTGGTACCTAGAAATTGACACAAATGGGTCGCAACGCATATAATATGAATGTATATCAACCAATTTACATTCAATCATTTCCATATTTACCCTAATTTCAAATCATTTATGTTCGACGAAATACGCCAGAATTCCCAATCGAATGGCAATCTCTAGCGTCTACACCGGTGGTAGTATTCTCCTGTGGGATATGTTTAGCCTTGTTCATCGAGTCGCTTCATTTCAAATGGCGCTCAAAATTATTCGTTTGCAATTTAAAATCTTCAGTTTGTTTTAAAGGAGCTAAATCGCTAATATTTGGGAGACTTAGCTAAGTCGATATTTCGCACTTAAACTGGCCTTTGAATACCGCCAATTTCCCTCATAGCACACTGTATGGCGTACACCCGTCTTCATTAGCCCAGTTTAGGAGTAGGACATTAAACCCCAATTCTATTTCATTTCATTTCACATCGGAAACATATAGCAACAAGGAAGCCTGCTAAGACTGAAACCATGTACCACAACTACAAACGCTTCTGCTCAGTAGTGGTAGAAGCAGATTACAAATTCATGTTGATAGATGTTGGTGATTATGGAAACCAGCCTGATGCCCAAGCACATTAGAAATAAATAAATTTACGCACAAATAATAAATTTAAATATGAAAGGTTTTATAATTGCATGCAATAATATTAAAACGTAATGAAGTATAAATTATGGGGTTTTAATTTATGGAAACCAGCGGCTGCCAGGCAGGATACGCCCACATTTTCGAGAGATGGATAGAGAACAAGCTAACAAGAAAGTGATTTTTCCTACAATCAAGGGCCATAATTCAGGAAATTACAATTCGATATGCGCATATATCGAAAGGAACTGAACGAACGGCAGCCATTTTGTCTGTCAATTTTGGGCCGATTTTCACGAAATTCGAACTCGGTCGTCCTCAGGGTGTAACGGTGATATAATAATACGGTTTTTTAAATCGGATAAAATTTATGACCTCTATAGGATCCACAAGCTAAAAACGCGATTTTTCGTACAATCAGGGGCCATAATTCAGGAAATTACGGTCCGATATGCTCGAATATCGAAAGGAACCGAGATCTTTGGGTTATAGACTTACATTTCAAGTTTCAACAAAATCGGATAAAAATTGTGACCTCTATAGGGTCCACAGCCTTGATATACCATTTTCTTACCCTATTTGAGAACGAACGGCGGCCATTTTGTCTGTCAATTTTGGGCCGATTTTCACGAAATTCGAATTCAGTCGTCCCTAGGGTGTAACGGTGATATAATAATACGTTTTTTTAAATCGGGTAAAAATTATGACCTCTATAGGGTCCACAAGCTAAAAACGTGATTTTTCGTAAAATCAGGGGTCATAAATTCAGGAAGTTACGGTCCGATATGCACGAATATCGAAAGGAACCGAGATCATTGGGTTATAAACTTACATTTCAAGTTTCAACAAAATCGGATAAAAATTGTGACCCCTATAGGGTCCACAACCTTGATATACCATATTCTTACGCTATTTGGGAACGAATGGCGGCCATTTTGTCTGTCAATTCGAACTCAGTCATCCTTAGGGTGTAACGGTGATATAATAGAACGGTTTTTTAAATCGGATAAAAATTATGACTTCTATAGGGTCCACGAGCTAAAAACGTGATTTTTCGTACAATCAGGGGCCATAATTCAGGAAGTTATGGTCCGATATGGACGAATATCGAAAGGAACCGAGATCTTTGGGTTATAAACTTACATTTCAAGTTTCAACAAAATCGGATAAAAATTGTGACCCCTATAGGGTCCACAACCTTGATATACCATATTCTTACGCTATTTGGGAACGAACGGCGGCCATTTTGTCTGTCAATTTTGGGCCGATTTTCACGAAATTCGAACTCAGTCATCCTTAGGGTGTAACGGTGATATAAATAGAACGGTTTTTTAAATCGGATAAAAATTATGACTTCTATAGGGTCCACAAGCTAAAAACGTGATTTTTCGTACAATCAGGGGCCATAATTCAGGAAGTTACTGTCCGATATGCGCAAATATCGAAAGGAACTGAGATCTTTGGGTTATAAACTTACATTTCAAGTTTCAACAAAATCGGATAAAAATTGTTACCTCTATAGCGTCCACAAGCTAAAAACGTGATTTTTCGTACAAACAGGGGCCATAATCCATGAAGTTTCGATCCGATACATGCCAATATCGAAAGCAGCCGAGATCTTTTGGGGATAAACCTATATTTCAAGTTTCGTCGAAATCGGATAAGAATTGTGACCTGTAGAGAGTCCACAAACAATTGTGGACGGACGGACGTCCGGACGGACAGGGGCGACGGCATAATACGTCCACATAAAAATGTGGGCGTATAAAAAGACTAAATAGTCATGGTTTTATTCTCCATCAAATGAATTAGTACCACAATCCTACAAATTCAATAATATTAAAAATATATGATATACAATAAGTAAAACTAAAAAAAATAATCAACCACCCCCACGAAATAAAATAAAATAAAGTACTGCTTACTTAGTAGGATCGAAGTACGTTGTTATTCCGTTCATAGTACGTCCATCTTGTTTTAAAAACGTTGTCCATCCGTCTAATTGCAGGAACAGGCTCAAAGTTCTAGTGCACCCTGCCAGTTAGAAGAGCCCGTTCACAAAGTTCTTAAACAGATCGTAAACAGTTGCTACCAATTTCACTCTGCTCGCATACAGTTTGACCCCGTTTGGCAACTTTTTCCAGAACGTAGTGAGAACTAGTTTGGTGTGATGGGAGCTTGGTCACCACAGCTCGAAACGTTGAACAGGAAGTGGAATGGCAAAAACGCGATGGGTTTTTATATCCCTCGAGCCAGGACGAGATTACACACGCAATATGAGAGCGTTCGAACATACTAAGAACGAGACGAGTACGAGTTGAACTGTCTCTAAACTGGGTGGTCGGGTTACAAACTAGTTAGAACCAATTGGGGGCATATTGTGAACGGAATAGAACTAGTTACGAACTGGTTCAAACTTATTACGGAAGGGCTTGGACTGCTTGGAAACGGCAAATTTACTCGATCTGAACCTAATATGAACTGACTGTGGACGGGGTACAGACGAGGTAGACGTATTGAGGACTGTTTATGAACGCACTAGGATCGTATTATAGCCATTATTTACAGATTGTACCCCGACCACAACCCGTTTAACGATTTTCTAGGTCCTTTTCCAGAACGTAGTGAGAACTACGCTCGCGATCATTAAGTCTTGTTTCAACTGGCCTATCATCGAAGGTGATAAATAAATCGGAGGACGATTATTTACTCCTCTAAATTGGGTTATTTACAGGAACCCTTAATAGTTCCCTGGATAAAGCAAAGACTTCCACAGTAATACCATACCATGGATGTCTAATTCATGAACGACAATTGCCGATTTGGTGTCCCTGTATATGGATTAAATTTTATTTCAGTTTAGTATTTTGTATAAGGACTTTTTGTGGAATCTGATACAGTTTGTACTTAATTTGGATATATTATTTACGACAATCGGTTGGAGGGAACACAATCGTGTCTCACGGGATAACAAATGGACATTCCACGGTTACGATTGCACACACTGCGGATAAATGTATTTTTTGCGAACATGCAGTTATAGTATTTTGTAGACGTGAACTTGACAGAACATGATTCTCGAGCTGGTGACCACCATTGGGTAATGACAAGAAAATCGCATTCCAAGTATTGCAGTCAGTAAATATATCAATTCTGCTTTTCTTTTTGTTTCAGACTCTTCGTTATGTTTTACGACGATGTTTTAAAGCTGGTTGGAGAGTTTGGGCGATATCAGAAAATACTGAGTATTCCCGTTTGTATTCAACCATTAACTTCAGCTTTGATGGTATTGGTGACGATATTTTCATTAGCTATTCCGCCACACAGGTAGCTGAGAATTATATATGTGCTATGATTAATATATATAAGATTAATATAGTAAAAAGCAAACACGTGAAAATATTATTTCCTTATTTGAATGCTAATTACAAGCCAGCTGTTGTACTTGAACAAGTTAGTGCAGACGACAGTCACGCGTGCGCCTATTAAACACTCCAAATTTATGTAAAGTTATATTCCATGGATTGTCTAACATCCATGAATAAGTGACTGAAACAAATATATGAAACCATTAATTTCTAAATTGTTACTATAGTTTAAAAAATCAGTGACGTCTATAGTATGTAAATTACTTAACTTCTGTGAAAACCTTGAAACAGTGTTTAGCACTATTTCTAAAACTAATTTAAGGTCTAGATCATGGGCGTAAAATGAAAACTAAGGCGTAAAAACATCTGTATATCGTCGGTCGTACTCTTGAAAAGCGAAACATTGGCGTTTTATTTATTGTCTTTTCACTAAACCGACTTTGGGTTGATGACTGTCGCCCTCGGCAACAACATACAAGAAAAAATGCGATAAAACTAGAGATAAAATACCTGATAAATCATGATTCACACGTTCATAAACCAGCGGCTGCCAGACAGGATACGCCCACATCAGGGGCAATAATCCAGAAAGTTATGGTCTGAAATACGCAAATATCAAAAGGGACTGGAATCTTTGGGATATAAAGGTTTGTTTTAAGTGTCATCAGAATCGGATAAAAATTGTGACCTCTAGAGGGTCGACAACCTTCGTATTGCATACTTTTACACAATTTGAGTACAAAGAGCGGCCATTTTGTTTGGCAGTTTCATTTCGATTTTCCCGAAATTCGAATTCAACCTTCATTATGGTGGAATGGTGAAATATTTAAACGGTTTTTAAAAAAGGAAAAAATAGTGACCTCTAGAGAATCTGCAAGCTAAAAATGACATTTTTCGAACAATAAGGGGTCATAATCCAGGCCCCAAGTTCACAAAGCATTCTCAGACTTAAGTTGAGAATTTACTCAATTTTCAATCACTATTTATAAGGAATATCTTTGATCCAGAAAAACAAGACTTTGTACTTAGTTTCTTATTGATGTATTTGATATATTAAAACAACAAAAGTTTTATAAAGGGCCATATTTAGTTAAAATAAGGCGAACAATTTTGAGTAAATTCTTAACTTAAGTCTGAGAATGCTTTGTGAAATCGGGGTCAGGAAGTTAAGTTCGGGTATCCGCGATTATCAAAAGGATCCAAGATCTTAGTGTGTAATGGTGATATATTCACACATTTTTTTTTAAAATCCTCTACAGGGACCACAAGCTTAAAACGTTATTTTTTGTTTAATCAAGGGCCATAATTCAGGAAGTTACGATCCGATATGCGCGGATATCGAACGGAACCAAGATCTTTGGGTTATAAACTTACATTTCAAGTTTCAGAAGAAAATTGTGACCTCTAGAGGGTCCACAGCATTGATATACCATATTTTTTACGCTTATTGTGTACGAGGGGCGGCCATTTTGTCTGGCAGTTTTTGGCCGATTTTCACGAAATTCAAATTCAGCCGACCTTAGGGTGTAACGGTGATATACTAAAACGTTTTTCTTTTAAATCGAATAAAAATTATGACCACAAGCTAAAAACGCGATTTTTCGTACAATGAGGGGCCATAATTCAGGAAGTTACGGTCCGATATGCGCGAATATCAAAAGGAACCGAAAAATTTGAGTTATAACCTTACATTTCAATTTTCAACAAAATAGGATAAAAATTGTGCCCTCTATAGGGTCCACAACCTTGATATACCATATTTTTACGCTATTTGAGAACGCGGGGAGGCCATTTTGTCTGCCAGTTTTAGGCCGATTTTCACGAAATTCAAACGGATTTTTAAATCAGATAAAAATTATAAGCTCTATAGGGTCCACAAGCTAAAGACGCGATTTTTCGTCACAATCAGGGGCCATAATTCAGGAAGATAGAGTCCCATATGCGCGAATATCGAAAGGAACCAAGATCTTTGGGTTATAAAGTTATATTTCAAGTATCATCAAAATAGGATTAAAATTGTGACCTCTCTATAGGGTCCACAAGCTAAAAACGTGATTTTTCGTACAATCAGGGCCCATAATCCATGAAGTTTCGATCCGATACATACCAATATCGAAAGCAGCCGAGATCTGTTGGAGATAAAACTATATTTTAAGTTTCGTCAAAATCGGATAAAATTCTGACCTGTAGAGTGTCCACAAACAATTGTGGACGGACGGACAGGGGCTATGAGAATATACGTCGACATGAAAATGTGGGCGTATAAAAATATATTTCACGTATATTTTTATGCCCACATTTTGACAAATTCGGCGATGTTTTATGCATCAAGATACGCGTTACTTGGCTGCACCCACTTCCTTTCTATTTATCGAATTATTTGACTGGACGATATAAATATTAATTATCAAGGATGGATAATTTGAATATGTGTTTCTCCGCCAATGTACCCAGGAGTTAGAGGAGTAGAACGGAACGATGCCACTGAGGATACCAACGATGATAGCGCACGTCAAGGATAGATAAAGTTATGAAAACTTAAAATATTGAAAAGCCACGTAATACCGAGTGGATAAATATGTCGACCGGTACCACTGTAGAACGGATAACTAAAAAACGTTTAGTAACTAAATAGCAGTTTCACCATATTTCCCAATTTCAACAAGAAGCCAACATAAGCATAATGAACTTTTTTCGTTGGGAAGTGACATCTCACGTATAAATTATTTTTAGACGGTATCGTTTTATGCAATATCAAAAGAGATTTTTACAAAATATTAAAATATTCTTTCAAATTTTACAGGTGTAAATTACCAGGATATGAAAACGACACCTTTCATCAACAAAACAATTACCATGGATACCTAATAAACCAGTCCATACCACAATCTTCTAGTTGTCTACTACGTAATACTACAGTTGATAAATATGGTAATATGACGTCAGTGGAATATAAATGTGGTTCATGGGTTTATGATACGTCTACGTTCATATCAACACTAGTTACCGAGGTAAATATTACAATACTACTTCTGATACACTAGTTACTAAGGTAAATAGTATTAATACTACTTCTAATACACTAGTTACTGAGGTGAATATTATAACACTACTTCTGATACACTTGGCACTGGGCTTTTTTTTCTAATACTACTTCTCATACCCCTGTTTGTTGCGGGTGTAATTCTTCTAATACACCTGTTACTGAGGTTATTATAAAAACACTACTTCTAATGCTCTAGTTTATGAGGTAAATATTTTAATATGACTTCTAATATTTTTTTTAATACTTCTTCTAATACACTTGTTAGGTTTATATCAACACTAGTTAACGAGGTAAATATTATAATACTACCTCTCATACACTAGTCACTAAGATAAATATTATAATACTACTTCTCATACACTATAGTTACTGAGGTGAATATTATAATACTAATTCTGATACACTAGTTACTGAGGTAAATATTATAATACTACTTCTCATACACTAGTTACTTAGGTAAATATCATAACACTACTTCTGATACACTAGTTACTGAGGTGAATATTATAATACTACTTCTGATACACTAGTTACTGAGGTGAATATTATAATACTACTTCTGATACACTTGGTACTGGGCTATTTCTTCTAATACTACTTCTCATACCCCTGAGGTGAATGTTATAATAATACTTCTGATACATTTGGTATTGGGCTATTTCTTCTAATACTACTTCTCATACACCCGATTAGATTTTATTACATACTTCAAGAAGGTATTTGTTGAGTAATAAAACCTTCTAGTAGTTTATCGAGGGCTGGCCGTCCTTACCGCACGGTACAAATATTATCACCACTAGAAGCAACAAATTCCAGAACAAGCCAGAACTCATACCAAAATGGCCGCTTTATACAAATGAGTATTTAGGGGAATACTAACCCGAACCCTTTTAAGAGAAGTAAAAACTAATTAGACCCAAGTTCAGTCTTTTAAAAAGGGTTAGGTTTAAGAATTTGGGGGAGAGGTTAAGTCTCCACATAAGCACTGACCTAGGATGATGAAAAATTAGTTCGTGATATTTCCTAGTTTTATTAAAATACATACAATACATTAGATTTATATACAAAGGCGATTTCACTGTTTATTGGTGTTGGTGGCGCTGATGGTCTTCCTTGGGTGGTGCTTCTGGTATTCTGGTATTATTGTTTCTGAAGAAAAAAGAAAATAAATTTGAGGCTCTCGGGAGAGAGCCACATTAGTGTGTTTCCTACTACGGATTGGATTTTCTAAAAAATCGTGTTTGTTCCACATCACCGGGTTACGGCTAGGGATTCTTATATCTAATTGATTTTAATTACTAACGGTTAGGCATAGGATTTGATATATGGTTTGTTTTAGGTCAGGGGGGAGACTGGTCTTATTTAATCTAATTTACTGTGCACTAGGATGTCGTTCAGATTTTTATTTTTAGAATATGCAATTATAAGTTTCTGTGTGAATATTTTCGGGTGATTTTCTTGGAGATCAGTATAGTGTTTTCTAATGATTTTGGACGCACTTGCTGCTGTTGCGCTAAATGGAACTACAAAAGGAGCTATTGCGCTAGCCGTATGAATATTCAAACCTAGGGGGGCTGTTGTTTTCAATTTGTCAATCCAGAATTTTTCTCTTGTTAGCCTAAACGTTTTAATTTCTTCTGAAGTTTCAAAGTCGCTCTTGGTCTTTTCTATTGGCGTGACAATGAGATCAGAAATGTCATGATTTGGTTGGTTGAAATGAATTGAGACAGGTCTGTCTTTTTTGGTGACTATGTCAGACCGGTGACCGTTAATTCTTTCCCTAAGTGCATTTTGAGTCTCCCCTACGTATTGCTTGTCACATTTTCTGCATGAGATTAGATAAATTATGTTTGAACTACTGCATGAAAGTTGGTCTAATATTGGGAATTTTGTGCCTGATGTTTTGTTATGGAAATGGTCGGATATGTTTAAGATTTTGCATGTTTGACATCTTGGATGGCCACAAATTTGGTTTTATGTGCTGATTGTATATTATTTGTTTCTTTGGCGGCAAGCTCAGCTAGAGTGTTGTTTTTTATACGTCGTAGATAGCGTTTGGAGTATCCCCTTTCCCTTAGTTTGCTAAATACCAATGTACATGCTGACTCAAAGTCGGTACATATCCTATGAAAACGGAGAATCTGAGATTTTATGATGCCAGAGAATGTATGTTTTGGGTGAAAGGAGCTTTTGAACAATAATTGATGTGTGTCGGTTTCTTTGAAAAATACTTTAGTTTCCAATTGGCCTGTGATTTTGGTGTTGTTACTTTTAAAAACGGTAGTATCAAGGAAATCTATGCTGTTATGGCTTACATTTGCGGTTAATTTGACAGATGGATGATGATTGTTCAGAATGTTGAAAAACGTCCAAAATTCATCTAGAGTGTAGGTCCAGACTATGAAAACGTCATCTAAAAACCGCCCATAGAAATCTGGTTTTAATGGACAGAGTGGCAGAACTTCCCTTTCCCACTCCGCCATGAAGAGATTTGCATAACTCGGGGCAAATCGTTTTCCCATCGCAGTTCCGGAAGACTGAAGGTATACTTGGTCGTTAAAAGCGAAGTCATTCCTCCTCAGACAAATGTCGAGTAGTTTGAAGATTTCTTCGTCCGGCCTGGATGCTTGCGGGTTCCTAAGAAATGCTTTCCTAACTGCTTTAATACCTGTGTTATTATCAATGTTCGTGTACATGCTTTGTACGTCGATGGATATTAAAACGGTGTGTTCGGGGACTCTTAACTGTTTGATTTTCTGAATGAAATCGTTAGTGTCTTTAAGGTAGGATGGGTGTTGGCATGCTAGGGGTAATAAGAAATGGTCTATATATTGTGATACGTTGTATGATTCGCTGCCACAGTCTGATATTATTGGGCGTCCCTTGGGTATTTTATTAGGTATAAACCATTCTGTTTCTGGATTTTTATGTATTTTTGGTAGTGTATAGAGATGTCTTTGTCGGCAGTCAGATTTAGCAGATAGATAATCATATTGTTTTGCTGTTATGTATTCCTTATCCTGCAATTCATATAAGATGTTGTTTATTAAATTTGCGGTGTCCTTAAAGATGGGTTGGTCTAATTTAGTGTAATGTATAGGATTACTTAATTGTTTTTCTGCCTCTGAGATATAGTCTGCGCGATTCATTATGACACAACACGAGCCTTTGTCGCTTTTCTTAATTATTATGTTTTTGTCCTTTTTAAGGGTGTTTAATGCCGTTTTAGTTGCTCGGTTGAGATTTGTTTTTTGTGACTGTGGTTGAATGGATGATATTTCTATATTCATTTCGTCGAAAGTTTTTAGGATGGCTGGTGATAATGACTTTTTAGGTGGTTTCCATGTGGATTTTGCTGTGAATAATTTTTTACCTCTGCCGGGTTTGTTCCTAAAAAAATAAGTCAACGAAAGTGTTCTTTGGAAGCGATCGGTTGCCTGGGTGATGGGGTCTATGGATGTTATTGTGGGGGTTGGGATAAATTTAAGGCCTTTATCAAGAGTGTTCATTTCTAGGGGGTTGAGAAGTCTGTCGCTCAAATTGACAACTGTCTGTCCTAAAGACGGCTTCTCATTCCTTTTCCCTAATCCTAGTTTAAATTCCTCATCCAGCAGTTGATGATCTCTCTGGCCGTGTCTGGGCTCCAGTGGATTGCGTCGTTACCTTTCAGTTCTATTTTGCCCTTGAAGGTTGGTAATGTGGTGGCGTTTGGTGAAGGTGCAGTGGAGATCAGTTGGTTGTAGCTGGTGATGTTTTGGTAGGCGATCGGATTTTCTTGTCGGAGTCGGGAAGAAGTGGGGATCTGTGTGGCGAAGAGCTTGGTTGTTGGGAAAGCTGCTCTGGTCACCTTGAGTAGATCTAGCATCTGCTCGTGTATCCTTGGTCCACTTTCCTCCCTGTTGTTGAGCCCGACGTGTATCACTAATTTCTCTGGTGCAGGACCCATGTAGTTCTGGAGTATCTGTTTGATGTGGCTGATCTTGGCTCCAGAGTAGCTATGGATCTCCCAGTCCCCGACGAAGGATGCAATCCTAGCCAGGTTAGAGGATCCAATAACCAGGGTCTTTGCCATGACGGGTGGTAGGAACCATAAATCCTTCTCGTCTTTACCTTTGTAGCTGTGAGGTCTCTTTAGGGATAGGTTGAGTGATCGCCTACATCTGGTGGAAGATCTGGTGGCGATTCTAGGGTTAGGAATGATGGGCGATCTAGGGGACAGACAGTCGACAAGCGCGTTTAGTGGCGATATAGATCCCGAGGAAGTAGGTGAGCCAGACACAGCCCGGGGCGAACTGGTTGATCTAGCTGCACGCTTCGAGGGAGTGTTAATGCAAGTGCATTCTCCAGGGGATAATTTTCTCTTGTTGGGTGTGTATCGTTTTGGTGTGTCCCGGAGAAGGTTGTGCGTAATGTGCATGGTTGATGGGGGAGGGGGCGTGACAGTTTTAGAGACCGTGGATAGTAGGCGGTGGAACTCTGTCTTCACACTATCCTGAAGTCGCTTGCCGTAGGACTTCTTGGCCCATGCTAGGGCGTGGTTAGAGTACTCTTGTACAGCATCTTTGGTAAAGTGACGTGACTTCAAGTACTCCAGTTTTTCCGCTAGCATGGCTCGGTAGTGTGTCGACAGGGATGAGGCGACGTCCTTGGCCCATTTCAAGTTCAATGTCTCAATGGTAGTGGCTATGGTAGGCGTCTTCATGGCCGGCTTCACGAACTTATTCAGGTCTTGGATCTTCCAAGTGAAACTTCTGGTTGGTGTTCCATTCTCCTGACTCTCCATAATGGTCAAGTGGTGGAGGCATTGGAGGACCTGAAAGAAGGCTTTCACGACACCTGCATTTTCTGGGGGTGGTTGGCGCTGGTTTGGTTGTCATGAGTTAGAACGTCAAGCAACTTTAACAACGGATAAGATCCCAGAAAACGCCAAAAATATAATAAAGTGTGGCGAGCAAAGACCAACAACGAGAACATTCTTACGATTATCTAATCATATTGCAAAAGTCTAATTATTAAATTTGTTCGGATAATGTCAAAATTCACATCACACACACGAAAGCATAGAAAGTGACGAAAAAAACCGGAATATCCAATTTTTATTTTCCCTGCTTTCGGTAAATGGATTGAAATAAATCTATATAAATATGTGTGTATGTAGATGTATTTACGCCCATAAAGCTTCGTTGCCGTGCTCCAACCCCACATGAGGTACCAAATTAACCAGCATGACCCCATGATTGTTGTAGATCGTCGAATTTGGGTATCGGGAGAATCACGCTAGGTCGCCGCGCTCCATCCTTACATGTGCTATCAAATTAACCAGCATGACCCCGTGAATGCTTTAGACCGAATTTGGGCCCCGGACGAAGATGGAAATCCTTCTAGTATTTTAATATTTAAACACATTTTCACGAACATGTGGAACATGTGGAAACTTTGACACGCGCACATCCACAATTCTTTAGTAATTTCATCATTTGTCGTTGAGGAACTGGAAGAGGTCAAATGTAGTGTTGGGAGTAAATAGGTAGGATGTAATGGAAGACTAGTGGAAGTTGTGTCCTCACTTTTGACCTCAGATAAAACTTTAGGCCAAATAGGGAGATAATTACAGCTTTATGTTCATTCAACTGTGGATAAAATAACAAGGGAGACTCTACCACACTAGTGTTACCCGAAACAAATTCAAACATTGATTCTGCTTATCCTGCTTCGATAATTTCTTGACCTATTTCTAAAGAATTGACCCCAAGAAACCTCAGATTTTGTGTTTTTTGTATAAATTTTGAAGGGCTTTTAATATTGAATGATATTAGGCGGGGAAATAACAATATTTTAAGAAAATTAGACAACACTTTACATCTTACTTTTGACCCCGATAATGTGTTAACCGCGAGGGCGATAGAGGTATTGTCCTATTGGAACCCATGTTTAAAAAATAGGAAAACTGCCATGAGCTGAGATTAGGGAAAAACTAGAGTTTCACCATTCTTGGTTTCATTCCGCTCCTCACCACTATACCCCGCGTTCATCCATGGGGTATTCAAATTATCTGCCCTTGATCGTAGCTTGATTCTACGAACTAATCAAAAACAGTTTACAAACCAGTCTTAGCCTCATTGCTTACGTTCACACCAATATGACAGCTGGTTTGTTGCAACAAGACGAGCGTTATTTCTCTTCGCCAACTTCCTTTGTATTTAACAATTTTTTTATTGGTGGATAAAACTAGCAGTCATCAAGGGCAGATAATTTGAATTCGTGTCTTCCCTATGGATAAACTCAGGGGTTGGTGCAGTACAACGGAATGAGACCACTGGGGATACCGAGGAAGGCGTGACAATAGTGTTTGACCTAAGAAATTAAAAGCAAATTTGGTTGAGGTAAAACCATTTAGTTAAGTGTTACGTTTCGAGGTAAATAATTAAGTAGAAAATAAAGTTTTAACTGCTTGTCTCACATACGGTTATCTACTTATGATGTACTTAAAGGTAGATGGATCAAAGTAGTTATTAAAATTGACCATGATTATTAAATTTAGAATGTAATGTATTTTCCAAAGTGTAACCGTCTTTCTAACCTGAACATCAAAAGAAGGGACCCAGGTTAACTCTTTTACTGACACAATCTCTTAACACTAGCTTCTTGTACTGACATCACTCCTTGTCTTTGTTTTTTTTTTGTATCAAATTCAGCAAACAATTAAAAAAGAATTGTCGTTTGGTAAGTTTGAAAAAATGGTTCTACTGGTACTACCATGACAGGAACGGTGTAAGCGCTTACGTTTGTGTTATGTTTTACGAAGGAATTGATTTGTGGCCAGTATTCTTTGGCCATATTGCGGAATTTCTAACCATCATTAAAACTTGTTACTTTTCCTACAACGGTTTACAGACAAGGATAGTGGGTCTATTCGCTGGGTGAGATTGGAAAAGCTATACGAGATGGGATTATATGTGACCAATCAGAAAGATTTATGCATTATAGCTGTGTAAAAATCTCCTTAATGGCAATGCAAAGTATGTATAGATAGTCATGATTATCTAAAAAAATCTAATATCATGTTTTAATTTAGTTTAATATGGTTTGCGACGATGACATTTTAAGAAATAATGCCATTATGACGACGTTCCTGGGTCTGGTATTCAGTTGCTCTATTATAAGTAACTTTGCTGACCGGTAAGTATATTGATAATCTCGAATAATACATCTGTATCCCCACCCCCACCATATTTAATGTGACGAATTGTCTTCACTTGCACAGCAATACCACTGACCTCGTAAACGCTCTGCATATCAGGGTATTTCAGATTCAAACGTTCTATAATTGGAGGGTCTAGAGCACAAGTGATCTAACAACCAACTAAAATGGTTGGTAGTTAGATCACTTGTGCTCTAGACCCACCAATTGTTCGTCTGTCTTTGGCAGTTATCCTCCGTTCCCCATAAATGTTGTGGAATTAACATACTCTACACTTGTCACTGAAGATTTTATGTTCAACCGTGTTGAAATGGTTTGACTTGTATACTGATGAGGAATAAGACTTGCATTGCATATCAATATCATGTATAGGTATTTCACCAATCTGATTTAAAAACAGATCCTATTTCGTTTCGTTGTTTAAAGTTCAAAATTGCCGTCTTTATTAGCCCCGTCGGTGCAGATAAGTGGGACGTTAACCCTATTTCATTTCCTTTCAAATTGCTGCTGGTGGGCGTATATTCGTTGCCTGGCAACGAGTTATTAAATATCAAAAATGGTGGCATATGTTCGAAATTCTATGTTCGGCAAGACTTAAGGCTTACTCCTAAAAACAATTTTATTTTTGTGTTATAGTTTCGGTCGTAAACCAGTAATGGTTATTTGTAACGTAGTGTTTGTCACTTCTGCTTATTTACTGGTTTGGACACCCAATTATATGTTCTTAGTGATTGTCCGATTTTTTGTTGGAGTAGGAATGGGCGGCCAAATAATATCTATCTTTACTATTGGTAAGTTACCTTTTTGCTTTTGGTTTATGTATTTGTAGGGGTGGAGAATGGGAAGGAATTAATTTTATCGCGATTCGCGATATTGGCACTAAAATACAAAAATAAAAAAATAATCCATTCTCGTGTAATTTAAACTTACTTTCGATAAGATAAAATTTCTCATATTTCGTAAGCCAAAATTATCTGAATATCTGTAACAAGTCCAGTCAATTTATGAAAAATGAGGGGGTCAGCCCCCCAAAAATAGCAAGAAAAGTTTTTTTTAAAAGCGTTAAGTGTACTGAATGACATCTTAAAAGTTTAGCAAAATTGGAGTACCGGAAAGTCCCAAATTTTTAGGGCAAAGTTCGGGTTTTTAAGTCATTTTCCTTTAAAAGGTACAACTTCAGACAAACAAAAAGTCGTTATTTTTTAAGAGAAACACACGAAATTGACGCCATGCATTAGGATGTCGGGGTCAAACTTTTATATGGCATGGTTTTCATAGATGTCCGGTGTTCTCTTGAACCATCTTCGGGGATCACCCCAGAAACATGCTGTCCAGAATCCAAATTTATAAAGGGGCATAACTGTGCTTTGTTTTATTATATAAAAAAAGGGAATTTTAGTCTCAAGATTAATATTTTGGCGGGCCATTGTTTCATTTGAAGATATGCCCAGTGGTGTTAAGTGGTTCCTTACACCATTTTCGGGAATCCGCTGCAGCAAACATGTTTACGCGAACCCAAATTTACGTATATCGTAACTCTGCATGGCATTTTTTGTGTGTACATGTTTTGGGGTCCCTACCCCCAATAACCTATGATCGGAAAGATGAGTGAAGCAAGACACGAACAAAGATGTGCAAGAAATTATTTACCAATTTGTTCTTCGTAGAATGAAGGGTGATGCCGTCTATATGATTTCTAAGACACATGACAGGGTGCTTTAATTAACCGGGCAACTTTTGCTAACATAAGCGCCAATCTCAGTTTGCTTGGCTATACAACGCTATAGTTTGCATCACATTTACTGTTATACATTCATAGGACCTTAACGTAATGCCAGTAGCGGATCTAGAATCTAGTGTGGAAATTATTACGTCCATAATTAATACATGTATATTATGTAGTAGACAGTATATCTTATACATAGATCAATTATGTAATAATAATAATAATAATAATAATGTACATTTATATAGCGCTTAATCCATCCATGAGCATGCTCTAAGCGCTGTAAGTTAATGGCTTCTGTAGATAATACATCGTGAACATATGCGTCTTAAGTCTAGATCGAAATTGAGCAACTGTTTCTGAACACTTTATTTTGTCAGGTAAGTCATTCCATAGTCGTGGACCATATACACTGAAGGCTTTATCACCAAAAGATTTTAATTTAGTTGAAGGTACAACAAGTGATAGATTATTCTGTGAACGGAGTGGTCGGTTTGGTACATAAGGCTGCATAAGATCTGTGATATAGGATGGAGCTGAATCATGCTGAGACTTGTAGACCAGTGTTAAGATTTTAAAGTTTATACGAGCCTCTATTGGTAACCAGTGAAGCGATTTAAGGACAGATGTTATATGTTGACGTTTTGCTGTTCTTGTGATGATTCTGGCACAGTTGTTCTGAATTAATTGAAGTCGCTTTAATAAATGTTGAGATATTCCAGCCAAGGCACTATTACAATAGTCCAATCTTGAAAAAATTAGAGACCGCACCAAAAGATGACAAGCAGCAGTAGTCAATAGATGACGAATGTTTCCTATACTACGGAGATGAAAATTACAAACACGGCATAACTGTTCAACCTGTTTTTCCATTGTTAAAGACGGATCAAATATAACACCTAGATTTTTAACCCTTGTTGCAAATTCAATACTAGAGTCGCAAATTACAAGGCGAGAATCAGGAGTTGATGCGAGACGCTGTGGTGTTCTAACAAGTATTGCTTCTGTTTTTTCATCGTTTAACTTCAATTTATTATTATTCATCCAGGATTTAACAGCTTTGGAGCAGCGAGTGGTATTTTCAAAGGAATCATGAGCATTGTCTTGTTTAAACTTACTGATTAACTGTGTATCATCAGCGTAGGAGAAATGGCTTATATCAAACTGGTCTATAATATCCCCCAGACATCGTGTGTACAGTATAAACAATACCGGTCCAAGAACAGACCCTTGAGGCACTCCACAATTAAGGTTTGCAAACTAGGAATGAGATTTGTTTATAATGATCTTCTGTCAGTAAGATAAGATTTAATCCATTGTAAGGCCGTACCAGTTATGTGAAAAGTTTGATAAAGTCTTCTTAAGAGAATTTCATGATCGACAGTATCGAATGCGGCAGACAAATCTAACAGGGTCAAGGACACAAGTTTACCACTATCTACGGAGCGCAGCAAATCATTTAGCACACAAAGGATAGTTGTCTCAGTGCTATGATGTGGTCTGTAAGCAGATTGAAATTTGTCTAAAAGATTTCGAGAAACTACGAAGGACTGTAGTCGATTGTTTATTGCCTTTTCAATGATTTTGGAGAGGAATGACAAATTTGAGACGGGTCTGTAATTCTTAAGCACATTCCGGTCAAGAGAAGTTTTCTTAATGAGGGGTCTTACAACGGCATCTTTATATATTAAAGGAAATACTCCTGTAATAAGACTTGTGTTCACAATCTGAGTAATGACTGGAAGAAGCAGATCAAGATATTCAACAAGTTGTAGACAAGTTGTCTTCTTAGATGATTTGATAAGTTTTTAAATTTCATCGTTAGAGAATGACTCAAAATATGTTAGATAATCTCCACATGTGGCTGAAAAAGGTGTAATGCCTTCAGCTTCTTCATTTTCACTGGAGTGATCTAATTGTTCAAGTATTTGATTTATCTTGGAAGAAAAGAATTGACAGAAAGAGTTTGCAAGATTGTCATCATCGTCAGATTTTGGTAGAATTATCTCAGTTGTAGTACCAAGTAGTGATTTCATAAAATTATGACACTGATTGGGAGACTTAAATTCATGGGGTTCAATGAGTTTGCACATGTGGGGTTCAAATTGGTTCTATGCATTTAAATAAATACTTTACATGTATACTTTATAATCTTAATATGATACGAGTTCTGGAGCACTTTGTCATACTGTGAATGTGATAGTGCTGAGATAGTATAAGATCACAAAGGAGGGAATAATATCAGATAGCAAGGTAAAATATATAACTGAGCTTTTAATTATTTGGGACTGGGCCTGAAAATTTTAGTCAATTCCCTGGAGCAAATTTTTATGAACGAGATGACAAGAAATGGGGCAGAATTTCGGGGCCTGCCTATCAATTCTACCTGTTTTGTGAGAGTTGACAGACTACTGGCAATATCTTCAAATGAAAGAATGACCCCAAAAGCATTCATTATTATGATCATAATGCATTTATAGGTTCTTATACCAACAGTTTAGAGTTTTCTTGAACATTGACTAGGCAAATGTCGGTCATTTTGGATTTTACCACTTTCCGGTGTGCAAAATTTGGTAAACTTTATAAAGTACACTTAAATAAACGTAAAATGCTTAAAAACGTTTTCTTGCATTTTTCTTTTTTTTTGGGGGGGGATCATAAATTGACTGGACTAAACAATGTGCTGACTCCAAGTGTAGAATTCTGTTATATAATCAATGAATACGGGCACAATGGACGAGGTTCAAATTTGATTGTCAAATGACTACTGTGTACTTTTATGTTAAAAAAACCCCACAATTTCATTTAGGAGTGGAGATAGTGGGACCTTCTAAAAGACGTTTTACTGGTGTTGTATCTAACCTCGGATGGTGTTTGGGTATATTGATTGTAGCAGCGTTGGCCTATTATATTAGAACCTGGAGATACTTACATCTAGCTGCAGCCGTCTTGACATCGTATCAGTTATTTTATTTTTTGTATGTACCTTACAACGTTATAGATTGGTTGTAAACAATAAATGTCGGATATTTCGTTGCCAGTGTATTTCACTGTCATATGGAGTTCACAGATATTTAACGTAGTTTTATAAGGCTAGGCGTTCAACCAACGAAAATGTTTCGCTTTTAAGTACATATATATATATACTGAGCGCCATGGAAAACGCATCACTTAGTTTTTCGTATAACAAATTGATCCTGTAAACATATCTTTTTTATTTTGCTTCTTATTGTGAACAATATTCAAATGGGAACACATCAATAACAACACATTTGTACACTTATGGATGTTTAATCTGTAATCAAGGGTACAAAGTCAGAGGGGTCAAAGCCAAAAGTACGACACAGATGTCAGTAGCGCGTGTGTCCTCAACGGGCCATCATCACGGTACGCTACAGCATTAACGCGACCCCTGCAAATGTGTAGGGCGGTCCGGTGATGAAATGTGAAGCCTCCCCACACCATTACACTTCCCCCACCCCATCGATTCGTTTCGAAGACGCAGCAGTCTGCAAAACGTTGCCAGTCTACTCTTCTCCATGTCAGGTGTCCTTGAGCCCATATCAAACGCCGCTGACGGTGATGATCCCTGAGGATAGCTCCAACTTAAGGTCGTCGTGCACAGAGTCCTACTTCTCTTAGACGACGTCTTACGGTGATGGCACTTACTGGTCCTTGTCTTCCGACGACTGCTGCACCTGTTCGAGTCGCTGGGCGGAATCTGTCACGCAGATGAGTGACCCGGATGTAGCGGTCTTGAGCCTGGGTTGTAACGCGTTGTGGACCAGGACGTTGACGGTCACGTGTTGATCCAGTAACTCGAACACGTTCCACCAACCTTACAATAGTGGACTGATGACAATTGAAGTGTCTGGCAATAGCACGTGTAGACATGCCAGCCCGGGACATTCCAGTGGCGTCATTCCGTTGATTTTCAGTAAGTCTCGGCATCTCTAGCTCGATTCCTTCACACGTCCAACAACAAATTACGACAGATTGACGTTTCACAGTTCATGTACTGCACATTAAGTTGAAAACATGCTTTTAAAGGGCTCACACACAATGCTGCACGTGAATATTGGGTTATTCATGTGCATCTCGTGCACTTTTTTTTTGTGCACACGGGCCGATATTTTTTTGCGTTTGGGAGCATTGTGTGAAACAATAGTCCATAGTATTGCATAATATTATACATACAAAACCACCTAGTAATAAAATATTTGGGAAAAAAAGGGATGCGTTTTCCATGGCGCTCAGTATATATATGTACACAGATCTTACGTAGTATCTATATATAAATATTTTAAAAATCTTCTGGTTTCGGGATGCCTGCCTATAGGATTTTGATATTTGTGGCATTATAGCATTTGTGTGCTATTAACTCCCCCCCCCCCCAAAAAAAAAACAACAACAAAAAACCATAGGGGCCCAAGCAGAAGGATTTCAAAAGAAGGCTTGACCTCGCGTTAACTCCGTACATCTTATCAAGATACCCTGCATATTTCTTCACGGATTTCGATTGGCAACTGATCCAGCTGGGGAGCCTACCCTCGATCATCGTGAATACCAAATCTCGTGCTTTCCAGCTGAAATGTCTACCTGTGATGATCGAGTTGCAAAGTTCAATGTTCATTCAATGTCAAGGTTTCCGTGGAGGTCGCCATGTTTGATTTGAGTGTGTTTGTGTCACAACCTCTGATTGGACGCTATCGTTCACGTGTCTGTTACAGGGCGATAACGGGAATTGCATAACAACGTCGAGATGTTATAAAACATTTCAAGAACATGTGCTAATTGACCCTCCTCTATCCACTCAACCATATTTAAAAATTATAATATCCTATTGAGAAACTCTCCCGTTTCTCCATTTTGAAAAGCGACAAATACATGGTCAAAAGACTGTGAGAACCATTTTAGTCAGCATTAAATCGTAATTTCAAAACATATTTTGTTATTTTAAAGAATGTTACCGGAAAGTCCACGTTGGTTATTAACACGGGGTCAACTTGATAAGGCAAGAAAATTAATCAAGAGGGCAGCTGTTGTCAATAAAACGATTGTAAGTGAGGATACATTATCAAAATTAAGAGTACCAGAAAAGCCCGCAACGGCAAAATTTTGGAAACTTTGTTCAACAAAAAAGTTGACAGCGAGAACACTTGCAATTTATTTTGTTTGGTAAGTCGAAAAAATATATTGTTATTTTTTAGTAGTCCACGAATACAGTATGGTCACATATAAAAAATACTGATCCATGAATGGACAAATTTCACTGGGTAAATGTATGTTATTTAAAGGAACGCGGGTGGATGACAGGATATCCGCAATACGGTTCAGATATCAAGTTATCCACCAAGAGTCGATTAACATAGCTGTACGTATGTTAAGTGACTAACCTTGAGGCAAGGAAATGGAATATTTCTTGAAAACCCCTTATCAGAAATTGGTGCTATATTTGACTTGTAGCATTGACACCTGCTCAACATGCTTGTTATTATTACACAGAAAACCCACCCACTTCTCTAAATGATTTCTACTAAAAGTGGCGTAAACCAGCAAAAGTGTGCAATAACATTGAAAATGTCTAGTTATTGCACGGTTAAGGTCCATCCAATCTACTAGAGGCAAACAATCTGCTTATTCAACGAAAAGAACAAAGATTTCCCGTCAATGTTACAATTATTTTTTTACTTTTTGTTCGAAAGCTATTCAATAAACTATTTATCACAGTCCTTCAAGATATGCTGTAGAATTAAACGTATTTATTTGCAGGTTTTCTGTCAGTGTCACGTATTTCGGTATAATGCTCAATTTAGAGTTTTTGGTGGGAAATATATACCTGAATCTATCTCTAACAGCCATCATTGAAGCAGTTTGTTATACATTTGTTATATTAATGGTAGATAAGTTAGGACGAAAGAAACTTATATGTGGCTGTTATTTTCTACAGATTCTATCATTAATAGCTGTTATAATTATACTATTATACGTACCACCAGGTAAATATTCCTCTCATATAGACAATCGTGGGGGGGGGGGGGTGAGTATTGACAATAAATAGTTAATACTGCAGACCAGCAACAATTCAAGACGCAATATTGCTTGGGTTGGATACCAGCACATTCAATTTAAGAATTATGTTCACTATATACGTTTCTATGGATGTTCGTACATGAATTTACCTGGGGGTGGGGTGGTTGTCCTTTAGTTTTGCTCAGTTACTTTTTCTTAGATCTGAATTGGTTGATGACGGTATTTACTTTGATGGGTCAGTGTGGAACTATAAGTAGTTTTGCTATAGTTTGGTTGTGGACGAGTGAACTTTTCCCGACAGAATTAAGAAATGTTGGAACCGGTACTGGTTCCGCTTCAGCACGGGCAGGAGCTGTGGTTGCACCGTATTTAGAATTATTGGTAAGTAGACTTACATGATTTTAAATACTTGTACAGATGTGGGGCATCTGTAGTAATTTATCGCTTAATTATATAATATTGAATTACCGTTCACAGTTTTGTGTGATGCATCATATATATTCATTTCTTGTAAACTTATTGATAGCATGACAACACCTACCTTTTAGTTTCATTTTACAAATTTCAGAGTAAATTTGTTCCCGGAAGATTTAAAGAGGTTTCGCCATTTTTATTTTTTGGCATTATTTGTATGGTTGCTCTAGTTCTAATCATCTGTGTTCTACCCGAAACAAACAAACAGAAACTACCAGATACTGTAGATGATGCAGAAAGATTGGAACCTGGGTAAGATAAGTTTATGTGTGTTACTAAAAGTACTAGTGTTTTGGTTTACAAAAGCTTTAATTACACGGTTAATATGGATTGTTCTCGGTACGTTATTCGTATTGTATCAGATTAGAGCAGTGGTCTTATCCCAGTGCAATCTTGGGTTAATGCCCTTAATGGCCCATTCCCTAAATACAAGTTCATATCCATGCGTCAACAAGAAGATAATGCCTTGTGTTCGTCCTTTTGATAATGAGATATATGTAAGTATCAGTCTCTTAAACTGATTTACAGAATATGTTTGAGATACGGACAAAAACTCTGTAAGAAATAACGGAGGTGTCCTATTTTTATACGCACATTTTCATGTTGACGTATATTGTCGTCACTCCTGTCCGTTTACATTTGTTTGTGAACACTACAAGTCACAATTTTTATCCGGTTTTGACGAAACTTCAAATATATAGGTCTATCTCCCAAAGATCCCGGTTCCTTTCGATATTGGTATTATCGGACCGTGACTTCATGGATTATGGCCCCTGATTGTACGAAAAATCGCATTTTTAGCTTGTGGACACTCTAGAGCTCACACTTTTCATCTGATTTTGATAAAACTTGAAATTCATTTTTATAACCCAAAGATCTTGGTTCTCTTTCGATATTCGCGCATATCGGTCGTAACTTCCTGAATTATGGCTCTTGATTGTACGAAAAATCGTGTTTTTAGCTTGTGGCCCCTTGTGAAAATCGGACCAAAACTACCGAACAAAATGGCCGCCCCTCGTACGCAAATAGTGTAAACATATGGTATGTGAAGGTTGTGGACCCTCTAGATCCGATTTTGATGAAACTTGAAATATATGTTTATAACCCAAAGATCTTGGTTCCTTTCGATATTCTCGCATACTGGATCGTAAGTTCCCGAATTATTGCCCTTGATTGTACGAAAAATCACGTTTTTAGCTTGTTGTCCCTCTAAAGGTCACATATTTTTAACCCAAAGATCTTGGTTCCACGTGTGCACTGTATCATAAGGTCTGTCATTGAGTCAACTGGAATGGTTTCGATTCCCCGGTTGAACGTGACAGGGAGTAGTGTCGCATGTCCAATCTCGTGGGTTTTCTCCGAGTCCTCGGGTGTCCTCCCAATGCTAAAGACCCCTAATTGAAATAAAATTGAACCATATGTTAGTCCCGAAAAGACCCAGTTTGTGTCGAGTGGACGTTAAACCCATTTCTCTCTGTCTCTCTCTTCTCTTCTGAATGACTACAGAAATGTCAAAAATGAGATTATATGCTTGTGTATTTTGGTAGGTATGGAGAAACGAGAGATAATATTTTGAATGGGAAAGAAGAAATTGTTGAAATGCTTGGTACAGATTCTAAATGCTGACATCCCAAGATATAATCATGATATCCGAAGATATATGTTTATGTGGGAGACATTAATTGTTATCCTTATTTTATCACTTGATGGTTTACCCTTTGGATCTTTAGTTACAAATTCCCCTCACTGAATTTTACATTTTATAGTATATACACATATTCATATATTTATAGTAGTAGGTACATATGGGGACAAAAAGTTGCAATTAGTCAAGGTGCCTTGGTTTTTTTTAATGCTAATTAAGTATTTAAAGGACCATTTTTTTGTCGGTGATAATTCATAAAAGCTTGCTTGCGATGTGTCTATTTTTATATGCTCACCCGCATTTCGCTTAGTATTTCGACCTGAATTCTGTCATGCTATCATTAGTAAAGTTATGTCCCTCGGTCGTAGTCCTCTCACTTGCCAATTGACACCATTCTTATTCCAACGGGTGATGGGTGGGGGTTGACAAAACAACAGCTTTTTCATTGAAACATGAACATTTTTTTTTTGCTTTTCTTACAATTAAAACAAAGAAGTTTTAATAGCTATTTTCTAAATTAATGAATGGATAAGTATTTTTAAAAAAATGTACGTAAATATACTTATATTGGTTTAAAGACTTAAAACTATGATTAGATTTTCTATATATGGATAGTATAATTATTTGGTTATCCGGGAAGATGACGTATAGTTAGACTATCATGCCATATTCACCTTCTGATGATGCACTACAAATACAGAAGATCTACATCAGTTTGCTCCACCACACATTAGAAATATATACTTACACTTCGGAGTAATGCACATTTCTCTCCTTGTTGTGCGGAGAAAAGAGCACTTTATCACCCGTAGACTACAGAGTTTCACGCTGGTTCATCGTGAATTCCCCTTAAACTACTATAATATCTTCCCAAGATTTTATCTTGTTGCATCAAATCAATTCGCTCTTGAACAGTTCTGTGTTCTGGGTGGGTTCTTATGTCGCTTATTATTCCGACTCGAGTTAGTAATGCTATCATAAATAAAGTTACCTCCCCTCGATTGTAGTCCACCCAACCCTTCACTTGCTTGTTGCCACCTTGGTATACGTTCATTTTGTTTTAAAAAAAAGAAATAATAAACAGTTGCTCTGGTACATGTTAGAACGTTGTGTAAATCAAAACAGACAACAAGGTTCTTTGGGTTTTTGGTTTTATTTTTAATGTGTTCATTATACTTTTTTTTTACAGCGGTTCCGTAACTTTACTCTTTTAGGCACATAAAAGCCATTATTAAATTATATATCTATAATTAATTCGCTCTCATAACACCCCTCTCGGTGATACTAGCGACGAAGCGAATATTATCTTAAATGGAATCTTGTCCTTAGGGTAGTGGGGTATTAGCATCAGCACTGCTTATGCCTGATTTTGGATTCGATTCGAGAAAATAATCATGATTAGTCTTAGTTGCTGAGAAACTAACACCGAAGGAGTCGTCAGAATCTGAAGAATTAAATTCTAGTTAGCTAGTTGTTTCATTGCGGTTCCTATCATGTTAGTAAGACTAGTTCCTGGGATATTTATTGTAGATCCCTGCTAACTTCATGGTAATTAATTGGGTTCAGTTTATACTTCTACAGCCTCAATAACATCATCAATAGATAAAACTTGAGATTCATCGTGTTCTGAGTATATTGTAATATTTAAAATCTTCACTGGATTAGTTTGAGGCTTGAACTTTGCTTTTATTCACCTTCACAGGCATCAGAACTAACAGAACTTTCTTCGCAGAGAATATCTAAAACAAACGTAAGTGCCTGAAAAACGTCCATTCGAAAATGTACATAAAACTTGAACTTTAATAATATCTTTCACATTTAGATCTGAAATGTTTCTATGAGCCATCGCATCCTCTAGTGCGGAGTTCAACATTAATATTGGTACAACTATATTATAATTGTCTACTGTTTTAACGTCATGATGTTGATTGAAATGTCAAAACACAATCTTCATCTCTACAAAAATGTATGAGGTTGTTGCGTATTTCTGAGAATAACTGAACCTAAATAATTTAACCCGTCACAAGCCAACAGTGAGGCTAATGTCCCCCGCTGGGTAAACAAGGCGAGAAGCAATTTGATTGGTGGAGACTTTGGAGCTCGATAACTTTGATTCTAACTGAGTGATAGTGATGAAACTTTGTGTATAGTTTCATTACATCCATACCTTAACAAAGTTCGATGCTGAGCATTTTCTGCTTTGTATGATCGTATATACCCGCGTACCTAGCCTACTTCATTGTCCCCGGATCTGGCTGTCACACATTTTGGAACCAAATAACCCTCCTTCCAATTGCGCTAGAATGTTCAAACTTAGTGTAGGTGTTTATTAGGAGTTCCAAGATGAGAAATATTGCTCGCGTAAGCAGAGATAAGCAATTGATTGGTTGGTACATTTAAACACGATAACTTAAAATTAAAACTTACATTAAATCAATAAATAATATCCACAAATTATTATTGGGAAATAAAAGCGATGTGTAAATTAATTTGAAAAATAAAATTAAGATAACAAAGTTGTTAACAAAAGACTTTGATATACATACAAACAAAATTGGTTAAAAAAAGAAGGGGAAATTATTTTTAAAAAAATAATAATTGAAAAAAGCCATTAAAGATTGTTAAAAATATGTAAACACAGAATTGTTAAAGCCTGCCCAGTAATGCATACTTTACACAAGGCTATGTTTTCAAGAAAAAAAATATATTTCAATTTAACCTGAAACATTATGTAAGTGGAATTAGTATTGTTGCACTAGACTCATTGAATAAGAGCTTGTTCATAGACATATGACAAATCGACATATTTTCCAGTCAAATTAAATTAAAATAGAAACTACTGTCACATTACATGTTCATTACGTAATACACGCCCAACTTCAATTCCATTTGAGGGACGCCACTGCGTATTGGACGCATACATTATACATATACAACCAGCGGCTGCAAGAGATGGATAGAGAACAAGCTTTAAAAAAGTGATTTTTTTATACAATCAAGGGCCATAATTCAGGAAGTTACGATCCGAAAGAAACCAAGATCTTTGGGATATATTTCAAGTTTCATCAATATCGGGTCAAAATTGTGACTTCCACAATCTTGATATACCATATATTTACACAATTTGCGTAAGAGGGGCGGCCATTTTGTCCGGCAATTTTGATCCAATTTTCATAAAATTCGAACTCGGCCATCATCAGGGTGTAACGGTGATATATTCAAACGTTTTTATACGCCCACATTTTCACGTGGACGTATATTGTCGTCGCCCCTGTCCGTCCACAATTGTTTGTGGACACTGTACAGGTCACAATTTTTATCCGATTTCAACAAAACTTGAAATATAGGTTTATCTCCCTACGACCGCGGTTCCTTTCGATATTAGCATGTATCGGACCATGACTTCATGGATTATGGCCCCTGATTGT